TGTCTGTGAACTATTTTTCTTTCTTTTTAATGTGAACCTGTGTGTGTTTAGAACAATAAACTGCCTTTTAAAGATGCACCTTGTAAGAACGTTTCAGTAAGCACTGAAGAAGTTAATAACAGAAAACCCCTGAGAGCAGAAAGAAAATTAGGAATTTTGTGGCATTTTTGATACTATCCTATCAACTTTACTTTTCCTGTGGTTTAAGAGGGTAACAAAACCATTCTCAGGTAGTGGGGGTTTTGGTTTGACATTTTAAAGCGTGGGGTTGAATTGGATGTTTCTGTATTAGGAGCCACTCAAACGAAGGGAAGTGCTTTTGGGCTGTGTGATTCAATGAGACATGAGGGCATGCAAGGTACAGTTACTGTTACCAAGCTGACAAGAAGAAGCCAAGTTCTTTTTGTGACACATTGTGTTTGTTTTTTGTAGTTAAATCTACCTTGAATTCTCCTGATCATTAAGCAGCCCTCATGCTTTCACATTGTGACCCCAGAAATACACCTGCATAGTGAACAGAGTGATAAAATAGGAAATCTGTAACATTGTGCCCAAAGTGTAAATATAAGAAAAAAAGGAAAGAAAAGCCACTGAGCGTGGTTGAGTTGCTTTAACAAGTTCTCAAACTCTGTTTTTCAGTAGTTGAAACACAAAATCACACATCTGCTCTTCAGTAAAACCCTTTTCAGCAGGTAGTCCATTAGATGTCTACATTGAATTTCCAAGAGTGTATTCTTTTGGGCTTCTTTTTGGTTTGTCATGGAGATGCTCAGCAGCAGTTTGGGAAGTACCTGCATCTGTACAGACTTGGAGGTGTGCTGAAGTGGTCCAAAGGAAACACTGTATTTGGGAAAATTGCTGGCGCTTCTGGTTCTGTGTTTTTTGATTTTCCCCTCCCACCCCATGGCTAAAATGCATTGTGTTTCTTTCTGTTCTTTTCCTCAGAGTCACCTCTGACAGATGCTATGGTAACCACAGCAGATTAGTGTGGTATCAATATCGTGATTTTCTGATGAGATAAGCTGTAGTAAATACTCTAATGTCTGAATAGTGCAGACCAGGCTAATAAAAACTTCAACTGGAGAACCTTAAAGATGAACTTGGAAGAAGACCAAACACGTTTTGCTTCTTTGTAATGCTTCCCTTTTCCATTTATATACAAGATAACAGTGCTTTTCCACATTCCACTCCTTTTTTTCCATGGGAGGATCTTCAGGAAGCCCTGTGGAGGACAAGATAAATGATGTAAAGCAAGGGGGTCATTGAAAGTTGCCTTGAAATGTGGAGATACTGCCTGCTTTTTACTTGGATTAGATACACATGGAGGTGCAAAACTTGTCTTTGCCCCGACAGTAGGTGGGAAATGTAAGGGAAGGAGAGAGAAAGTTGACTTGGAGGCATCTACATGATGTTTTCTGTTCAAGAAGTAATTGATCATCTCTCTCAGACATATTTTGGGGTGGTTCTGTTTGTAGCCAGAGTTGGACTCTAAGGTCTTTGTATGTTCCTTCTTACTTGGGATATTCTGTGGTTCTTCCATGAAACTACTGCAGAATCACCTTGAATTGAGGCAGTTCTTACTCATTTGCATCCTCTTGGACAAAGTTTAGTAACTTCTCTTTAGTACAAATGAACTGTTTATCAGATTATCCTGTTACAAGAGAAGTATGCTAGTTCTTTTAAGCATATCTTGGTACTGGTATTTAGCAGTAGCAGAGTGTTTGTGTGGCGCTGGGCTGATGAATTTCCTGGTATTTATGCCAAGGAGGTTGCCTGCTGGATCACACTGCGGTTTGGTTGAAAGCCAAGGGATCATGGGTTATAAATTTCATTCCCTTGTGATCCTGGAAGTCCACGTGGTGCATGAAACAAAGGCAAAGAAAGCCTGCGGGCTACCCTGAAGCAGGTCAGGCTTCAGGGGAATCAAATTCTCTTAAACTGTCAAAGCATTAATTGTGAACTGATTTTGGCAGCCGGCCCTTTGTTGTGGCTTGGTTAAGGAGAGGGTGCACTTTCTGGGGCAGTGTTCTTGTTTTGTGGCTGGCATCTCCGGGCAGAGCTGGCTGCAGTTGGGGTCTTCCAGCCCTGGATGCTTTTGGGAGTGTTTCTAGAACTGAAATAGAGCTGCTTGCAGTCCAAACATTTAATGGTGGTAGAACTTGCAGTCACAACTTTCTGAAGAGAGTTGAGTTCCCTTGTGAACTGCATAAAATGATTGCCTGGAAGTGATTGCCTTTGTGCAAGCAATTGTTTTTTTTATGGGATCCTCTCAAGCTCTTTATGTGTACGATAAACTGTGCTCATCCATCTGATATGAAAGTGAAGCTTTAGTATCTGATTTTAATGCTTTCTTCTGTCAGTTCTTCCTTCTTCTTTCAGGTTGCCCCGTTGATTCTGATCAGAGTATTCCTGTTTCGTATTGTTCCTGCTTTCCACCTTCCCCTACAAAAATGAAAATCCTAACATGTTTTTTTCCTTTTAAAATTCTTTTTGTTGTCTGGTCCTTTCTGCTTTTTTCTTTGCTTTGGAACCCTTAGTTTTTAAAAACATATCAGTGTTCATGATTTGAGGCTTCTCAGAAGGTAGGGCTGTCCATGGGTGGGTATTAGCCTTTAAACACTTTGTACCACTTTTTCACTATTGAGTAGCATTGGGTTTTGTGCTGTGGAGAACTGGCTGGGTCCAGGACAGAAAGCAGAAACCCCATTTATTGTTTCCCCTTGTCTAAAGCATGACGGAGCTCAGATAGGAGGCAGTGTTTTAGGCACAAACTTCTTCCTACTTGGAGTTCTTCCAAACTTCCTACAGGAACATGCTTACAAAGTTGTTTGAATCGTTTTCATAAGCTGGGCCATTTAATTGGGCTAAGTTGCTCATTACACCTTCTGTAAGCGATTAGTGACAAGTAGAGGCTGTTCAGTGGGTGGGGTGAGTGGTATCAGGCTGCATTGCTACCATAACGAAAGCTGTTTCCTATTAAAAGTACCATTGGAAGCTCCTTTCCCTATTACCTATGCTGGTATTTGATTCTCTTAACCACAGACTTAGAAAAAGATACTGAGGTTGACATGGAAATGACTGAGGCATCACTAAAGGCATGCCTCTGATGTTTTTCTGTGGTAGATCTAAATTCACTTGTGTAATTATAGCTGCAATTATTACAATTATATATTTTATTAGCTTAGAAAATAACTTAATGTGTTGATATTTAAGTAAGCACTTTTATTCGCTTAATATTTATTCATGAATGTAGATATTAAAAATGGCTTTTGCTTTTCTTAAGAATTTCTGCCGGAAAACTGTTTGTGGGTACAGGTGTTTGTGGGTTCAGGGTGACAGTGCAGTCAGCTGATGGATGTGGGAGAATCAGGTGCTCTGGTGGCAAGGAAAATGTCACAACAAAAAGCTTCAGCTCAGGGAGGTGATTGTCCCCCTACTCGGCTCTTGTGAGGACCCATCTGCAGTGCTTTGTCCAGGCCTGGGGCCCCCAGCACAGGAAGGATGTGGAGCTCTTAGAGCAGGTCCAGAGGAGGGCACTAAGATGATCAGAGAGCTGGAGCACCTCTCCTGTGAGGAAAGGTTGAGGGAACTTATATTGTTTAGCTTGGAGAAGAGAAACCTGCGGGGTAACCTCATTGTGGCCTTCAGTGCTTGAAGGGAGCATATAAACAGGAGGGGGAATGGCTGTTTGTGAGGGTGGATGGTGATAGGACAAGGGGGAATTGTCTTAAACTGAGACAGGGGAGGTTTAGGTTAGATATGAGGAGGAAGTTTTCCACCCAGAGGTTGGTGAAGCACTGGAACAGGTTGCCCAAGGAGGCTGTGGATGCCCCATCCCTGGAGGCATTCAGGGCCAGGCTGGATGTGGCTCTGGGCAGCCTGGTCTGCTGGTTGGCGACCCTGCACATAGCAGGGGGTTGGACCTAGTTGATCATTGTGGTCCTTTCCAACCCAGGCCGTTCTGTGATTGTATGATTTCCATTCCATTTGGTGTAAGTGTGTATCCAGTAGTTTCTGAGGTACCGTGCAGTATGGTAAAGCTCGTGTTAGTGTTTTAAAGTCCTCTGCTTCCTGCTTCCTTTTGTACCAGTCAGCCCTATGGGTTTGTCAGATGATGCTGGAGTAGAAGTGTCTGTTAGCATTTGGAGAGCCAGGTTATGCATGATGTGATACGTAGCGGTCTTTCACTTTTTGTTCCTGTTCTTTTTGTATGTGTGCAGGAAATACGCTCAAGGCTATCATTCAAGTGCAGCCTGTGCTGCTACTTTGATTAGGTACGAGAAAATCCCATCTCTAGCAAGCAAATGAAGATGTGCAGGTGTTAGACGCTGAGCTAACATTTCTTACGATGCTTTTGAAAACAAACACTTGTGAGACACGTGTGCATGCGTGACAACACTGCTGTGGAAGAGGGCCGTGTTTCTTTCTGAGGTCACTGTGTTCTGGGAGGCAGCAATCTCGTGCAGCAAACCCTTGGTAGCAGAGCCTCTCACCTGTGCTGCCAAGCATCACATTCCCAAAACACCGTGGGTACCCGACTTCTAAGTGAGCTTAAAACATGAGCGTGTTGTGGGTGTAAGACTGAGTCCCTGCTACCTAGGCCATATGGATGAGCACTGCTACTAATAGGGGGGTGGTTACAGCTAAGGTTCATCTTTCAGTGTTCTGTTTTGAAACTCTTCAGAGCCACTTAATTGACTTCACTGGGCTTTGGATCTTCAAATTAAGAACCCACTACTTAGCTGACTCGCAGAGTCAAACTTCTGAAGCAGTTTTCCCCAAGCTGCCTCTCTGCTTCTAGATGAAGGGATCTGGATTTGGAGGCAAGCCCAAGTACTTCAAATATATCCCACAGCAATAAATAAACATTTCTCATAGCATTTAAAAATGGATTCACTTGATTAATTGACTGTGGCAAGTAACTTATTGAATGAAAATGTGACTGTGGATGATCGTGATATGTTTTCTTTAATGTACTCAAGCTTTGCTTGTGTTTTCAGGGAGAAAGATCTCAATGCTAAGTTTATTATTTCCATGGAGAAAAATAAAACGACAATCACAAACTTGAAGGTGAGTAAATAATTTAAAGAGGGAAATGTTAACTAAATAGCTGCCAAAAGATGACTGCATGAAATAGTGGTGCTTACTACATTATGGAGAATAGCCCTTAAGTTTTGAATTTTGAAATAATCCTTAGGGGTCAACATATGACTTGCTGCACTGCAGCTTTTTGATAACCAGTCTGCAAGCTGTATCTCTTAGGTTTATTGCCATGAATGTTACTTAGCTGAAAGATGAAAACCTAAAGTAGAAGAGAATTACATGCCCAGTAGCTATTAAACTTTCAGTTTATCTGTAGAAGGAGTCTCCTGGAATTCCCATGTAAACGAACTAAATGCAAAGTACCCATCACTTGCTATAATATTTTGATTTTATATTTTAACATTTCTCTTGCCAAGAGAAATCATGCAAAGCAAATAGATTTTTGCAAGATAGTTTCCAATGACAAATATACAAAAGGGAATTTCAGTGCAGTTTGTTGAGACAGATGGATTCGGGTGGCAGTGATTATTGCTGAAGTGCATCACTAACTGTCATGTCTTGAGAAAATGATAGCATAAGCAACAGGTATGTAGTGCTGTTTTAATGAGGGCTCTGTATTGAAATGCTGATCACGGTGCAAAGGTCTCTGGCTTAATTATATTAATTATAAGTGTAGGAAGATCCCTTAGTATAATCTGGCTAAGCATAAGAATTGTGACAAGAATATACTGTTACAGCAGTAAGCTAAAATCCAAAGGATTCCTATTATATTCCTATAATGTGACAATCCTTACTTCTGAGCTGTGTACGTTTTTTTCACTGCTGTAGAATAAGAGGCTAGCCTTCATCGCAGATGTCTTGTTGTATAGCCTGAAGTTGCATTTGCATTCAGATTAGTTGTTAAAAAATGTTTTTAATTATGTCATCAGCATGTATTGTACCAGTTCATTTTCTTTTCTTTTATAGATACCAGAGGGTGGTACTGGCGATACAGGAAGAGAAAGAACTAAGACCTTTACCTATGATTTTTCCTATTTCTCTGCAGACAGTAAAAGTCCCAACTTTGTTTGTCAAGAAACGGTAAGATTTCTAGATGTTAAAAAGAAGTTGGTTTCTTCTTCCCTCCCCCACCCCACTCTGTCTCTGTGGGAAAAGCATTATTGAAACTTCTTTCTGCTGGAAGTGCTTCCCTCGTAATTTAGAAATTCCCTAGGTGACTGGGAGTTTGAATGTTTTCTTTTCCTTTCCTTTCTTTTCTTTTTTTATTTTATTTTATTTTATTTTTAACTTTTTAAATATGGTTAAATGCTGTGTTTTCTAATACAGCAGGCTAAATGCCTTCTCTTGTCTGGTTTGTCTTGTAAGGTCAAGCTAGACATCTTCTCTGAGCTGCTTTGTGAAAGGAGGCATTAGATTTGTTTTGGAAAAGCTTTTTGAAAAAAAAACACTTTAGAGAAGCAAGCATATATCTTTAATTCAGTTAGACAGAAACATTCTTTGCTAGTTGAAATGTTCTTTTTTTTTTTTCCCAAAAAGATTTGATACACACTGAGGGAACTGCTTGTCATAGTTTCTTCCTGCTTGTCCCTTGAGTATTCAGCTTAGGAAAGGACAAAAGTGCCTTTCTTCCTGCACATACAGAATAGAAAATCTAACTTTGAACGATGGGCACAGGTTAGAAGAACAGGTTGGCTCACCCTGATCTAGCATTTCACATGGACATGGATCCTCTTTATTATTTCACATTCCCAAATAAATTTATTGAGTGAATGTCAAGCGTTTGGTTATTATTATCTTCTCTTTTGGTTTGTGGAATGTGGAAATATAAGCTGAAAATCTGAATCCTTCTTTCCCCATAAGGTAATGTAAGGGTTTGCTGCTGAATATGCTGTAAGTCAGATGATATATACCTTTTTGGTTTCTGTCTTATCTATTCTGTAAATCCCAAATTCAGGGATATTGGTGTGGCTAATCCTAAAAAGCCTCAGAACAGTACTAAGAAGAGGAAATCAAAAGTTGAAGACAATTTAAAATATTTAAAAGAACAGTGACTAAACTGCTTGATTAGTAATTTATATTTGACATTTCTCTTCAGGCATTAGCATAAGAGGAGATGATCATATTTCCAGAATCTTCTTTATTTCATAAAGTTACAAACTCAGTGGTGCATGATCTGGACATTTGAACACTTTCTTAAACTTTATTAAGTAACAGTTTTTGCTATATTCTCTGAAATATCAAGCAGAAGAATTTATTTGAAATTGATGTAAAAGTATCTTAATTGCTTTAGCACTGCTGGACATTTGAGAAACATGTTTGAGTGCAACAACTGGAACTCAGGTTTGTAGTGAGAAGTTTAGTAACTTAAGGAAAAATCTACCTATGTAGGAATAGTTGCAGCAGCCTTGAGCAATGATTATTTTAAGGTCTGTGAGCTTTATGGTGCATAGTAGTAGGATGCTAAAATAAATCCTAAATACAGCCTAGATGTCCACGTTCAGTATTCTGCTGTTACAGTGTGTCCCATGATGGCAGGCTCTGCCTCCTTGGTCCTTACTGGCAAGGATAACTTCTGTTATTCAGTCTCAAAGAAGTTGTCATCCTATATCAAGCACGGTAATTATAATGTGTGAAAACAAAAGAAATGTTTGAACAATGGAAGTGCATTTTTTTAAAACAAAAGCTGCACAAGCTATTGTTTTGGTTGTGTGATTCATTCCACATTTAATAGGAAGGCTTTGTAGTTAAGCTCTTATCGAGTTGCTGCAGAGTTTCCAGTTTACTGCACCAGTGGCACAGAAGAAGGGCGCTTTCGTTCATGTTCATTTTGCCTGGAATAAAATTGATCTTGACTGTTGGTAGTGTGCTTTGTTTGTGACTGTTGTGTTTTTCCATTTGAACGGCAGAGAAATAATACATGAAATTCTGTCTAATATGACATGCTCCATTAATATGCCTTGTAGATGTAAAGTATGCTTTCGTATTCAAAAATTAGAGTGGGAGTGGCAATCTGCCATCCAGCCACTTAGTTTGTATTCACATGGGAGGAACAAATAGAATTTTGATGAGCTTACTGACCTTTTGTGACAAAACACTATTGCAGTCATTTGTCCTGAAGAAATTAAATCCTAACGGTGTATTTCCTTCTAACCTGTGCGTTAAGTCTGTGTTCAGACCATGCTGCTGTAACTGGCTGCCCGATGTACTGCCCCAAATTGCTGAGCAAGGTATACACAGATTCTTAACAGGGAAAATACATAAAGCTGAGCAGACACATGTGGCTCCCATTTAATATCGTGTAGAATGACGAGAAAGAAGAAAGAACTCAAGTTATGGCCTCAAGCTGGACCAGGGGAGATTCAGGTCAGATGTTAGGAAAAAATTCTTCTCTGAAAGAATGGTCAGGTACTGGAATGGGCTGCCCAGCAAGATGGTGGTGTCACTATCCCTTGAGGTGTTCAAGGAATGTGTAGTGCAACATCTAAGGGACATGGTTTAGTGGGGAACATTGGTGGCAGATGGACGGCAATTCTATAATTGTACTGGAAACCTTTTTCAGTGTGGTGAGAAAAAGGAAGGGAGGCTTTTTCTTACAATGCAGCAAGGAACAAATGCTCATTTTCTGGGTTGGCATGGATAAGAATAGTGCAATACATCTTTATGAAGCCTGGTGTTGAGGAAAGCCCACAAACATCATGAAGGGGGAAAAAAATAAAGAACATTTGAATTTTTGCTGTGAGTAAAAGATGCATAGGGAAAACTATTCTGTGGGAGTAATGATATTATGCTTTTGTGACCACAGGAAGACAGTTAATGGTAGCCTGTGCATCCTGGAGGGCTTGTGGCTCAGTCTTGAAATGGCTGCAGGATGTAAATGCAGGTGGGAATTTCAGCAGAGCTGCAGTCAAAACAGTAATGCGTAAAGGCTTAATCCAGCTGGTGACAAAAAAAAATGGCTATAGAGAAAAGGATGAAAGGGAAAAATCAATGTAGCAGGAACACAGGAGAGAGAACTGTACTGAGCTGTTGCTTCTCAGATGGCAAGAGAAAGGGAAATTGTGCTTTGGCTGATCCTTTTACCCTTGCTATTAGACAAGTATTACTGATTACAACATTGTAGCTTCTTTGCTCAAGGGAAGATCAAGTTAAGTATTACATAGGCTGGCTTGCAACTCAGCATCAATGATTAAGGAGTTACTCAGAGCTCTTCCATGAGGAGTGGCATGATCACAGTGAAGGTATGTGCATGTGCCATTCAGTGTTAATAATGACTTGTACACCTTGATTAATTCAAACCACGTGTATGGAGAAGTGACAGCCAAATCATATGAAACATCTGTGAGATTTTTCTGAAATTCATTTATGGGTTGGGAGATCCATATTAATGTTTTCATTGAGAGAAAAATCTCACCACGTGTTACTTGGGCCAGTGAGGGTATGGGTGGAAGTGAAGGGTAATGTTAATGAGTGGTCAGGAACCTGGGGGGGAAAGCTGAAGGCAGTGCTGCAGACAAAGGTGTTGAAGGCACCTGGTGAGAGCTGAATTAGCAGGTGAGAATGGACCACCTATATTATGTGAAGTGATAGAACCATAGAATCCATAGAATGGCCTGGGTTGAAAAGGACCACATCTAGTTTCAACCCCCTGCTATGTGCAGGGTTGTCAGCTACCAGACCAGGCTGCCCAGAGCCACATCCAGTTTCTGAGACAAATGTTTATATTAAAAGGGAAGGGGCTAGCAGAGAAAAGAGGATCACTTAACATTGTAGAAAACGTGGCCATGTTTGCTTAGGAAGTATAATTCTTAAAAGCTACTTTTAGAATAACAGGGCCATTTTCTTTATTGACTTGGTTAAATTGTGCCAAAAAACCCACCATGGAGAAGTGCTAACAGGATTGATAAACACCTCTTTTTGAGACCAAGGCAATATTTGCAGAGCACAGAGAGTTGGCAGAGATGCAAAAAATAAACGGATATTAACAGTAAGGAAAAGTGAAAGACATATCTGAGATGAGCTGAAAACAAAGAGGGAATAGTGTTTATTTTTTTGTACTTCTGCAAGTCAAGTAGATCTCTGAGAGGAAAAGAAGTAGGAAATACAGTGCTGCATGGCTGTAAACTAAACACAATAGTAACATTTAGCAGTTTGTTTAGAAGTACTTCTTTTCTGTCATAGAGTAAATATTGATGCCAACGGCTTATTACATGGTAGCTTACTGTGATTGTTTAATATTTGTTGTGCTGGACTGACAACAAAAAATAATTCTTTGTTTTTAGGTTTTCAAAAATCTTGGTACAGATGTGCTTAAATCTGCTTTTGAAGGTTATAATGCTTGTGTTTTTGCATATGGACAGACTGGATCTGGGAAGTCCTACACCATGATGGGAAATGCGGTATGTGGTATTTTGCAAATGTGCATTTTTGCTCTGTAGCAGTGCTTTGAAGATATGCATGTGTTTGTTAGTGCTGTCACCTATCCTCTTTGTCTATTATTGATTTCCCTTGCATCACAACTTCTAGTAGTACTAAGAGGTTTTAGAAGCTCTTGTTTCTTCTCTGGGTAAATATTTACCCCTGCAAGAAGTGTCTTTAAGGGATGCTCTGTTACACTGAACAAAAAGCAATCATTTTCACTGTGTGATAGAACCAAATGTTTCAAATGTTACCACTGATTTTCCATGTTAGACTTGAAGCAAAAAAAAGAAGGTGCATTTTAAGTACATAAATGATCAATTTTCTTCTGAAGAAATCTCATTTTTAGACTACTTTTGAAGGGTTAGAAGATTGAAACAGATCCTTGACCCCTGCTCAGAAAAGGCTATCAAGTGTGGAGTAGGGACTGGGGTAAGAGTAGCTAAATGTAAGTTTCAATAGGTAGATGATGCTGACTTTGAGTTTAAGGATTTCAGCTTTCTTAGCACTGCAGTGAAGACTCTGAAAAAGAGGGCAGATGTGATAGGAAGTGCACATGGCAATCTGTGAGTGAGGAGCAAGAGTAGTTTCTTGCAGCTACCTCCACAATGGCTCAAGGACAAGCACAGAAAGCCTTGGCAAAGCTGTTGGGAGTGGAGCAGTACGAGGGGCTGATGAACGCTGTTTGCAAGGCAGCCTTTACAAGTTTAATTCCCCTTTAATCCTTGGGAAAAAATACTTTTGCTCCCAGCAGAATTGAAAAGGGGAATATTGCCACTTGTCCTTCATTAGCTCACTCTTTGGAAATGCCACCTTGCACCTCCTTGAGTTTAGGAGAGTAAATTAGCTTTAAATCTTTTTCTTTCAGTTGTCAACGAATAAGTGGCTTCACTATGGTAAGCAAAATAGGCTTTTGTAACCAGAAAAGATCTTATGACCTAGATGTGGATTTCTATTTTGGAAATTTATATGTGACATTTTTATGAGACTGCCTGACTATATGTAATGACCATAATCATCAAGACATGTTGCAAATGAATAGGTGCTGAAGTTTGTTTGACACTATTCGATAATAAAGGTCTAATCTTCTTGCCATGATACATAAATACTTTAATCTGGTTTTGTACAGTGTGTGTATAAAATACACTCAGCTGCCAAGTTAAATGCTTTAAAATTGATGGCCCTGTCAGAGACGCTGCGGTGCTGTAAGAAAACTTGAATTGGAAATAAATTTTCTTTTTCCCACTTCTCCTTAACAAATATGAATTCTACTTTCCTTTTTCTTTAAATGTATGCTGTTCTTGGCTTTGGAAGGCTGCTTCTTTAACAGTGTGTGCCACAACTATTTCAAGAAGTCCGTGGACCAGTTAGAAGTCTTGAGCAGGGATACTGGAGTGGTTGGAGGTCTATAAAATATGTTCTATCAGGAAAGTCTGACCTGTGTATGCTGAGAAAGGAAGACTGTGGAGCAATAGAAGTCTTCCAAGATGTGAAAGGCTACTGCAGAAAGGAAGGGAATCATTTTTGTTATTTTTATTTTTTCCCCTGTTAGGTAGATGGACAAGCAGCAGAATGTTTAAATTACAGTAAAGAGGTTTCTGGTTAGATAACACAGAAGGAAAACAAGCTTTTAATGAGAGGAGTAGGCTCTGTAGTGGACTACTTATTTTGGTTCTATAAACTTTAACTATGAGAAATTCTATAACCCTCCCCTACCCCCCCAAAAAAAGATAGAGATGATAAGATACACTTGATCCTACTTTGGAGCAGTAAGGGATGAAAAGGGAGGAAATGTTTAATTTTAGTTTCTAATAAAGAATGTATGTTCTGTAAGATGTACATTTCAGTGACAAAGTGTACTGGGGAGTATGTGCTCTTACTTCCTCATCACTATCCTGCCGTAGCTGAAGTTATTCAATTAGAGTAATATTTTCTATTTTAAGACTCTCCTTGCAACTACTGAATTGTGTCAGTAACTAATGGCTTGCCTAAAGCCTTATGATGGATCTTTCATGGTTTTTTTTTTTTTTTTTTCCTTAAACTGTAATTAAAACTATTCAGTTGTTTCCAAGCATGAGATGAAAGAAAGTTCTTTTAATTTCCTCTGTTCTTTAAAAAAAAAAAAAAAAAGAAATTCTAACACTGGGCTCTGGAAAATAATGGAAGAAGATGCTCCTGTGTTGCCAAAGGCAACCCTCAAAATAAGCATTATTAACTTGTAAGTTTCTCCCTTTATCTGAGGGCTGTTTTATTCTGATTTGTTTGTTACAAACCAAGGTGCAGTCAGGAGAAGGTCTAGATATGCTTGAAGGAGAGGGTAGATAATTATTTGGAAGAATGAAGCCCAGCTTAGGAAGGACAAACTGGCTGTCATTAAAATATTGGAGAAGGAAGCTAGGAAGAGGGGAAAATGGGAAGAGAGCATGCAGGTGTGCAGTGATCTAAAATAACAGGATTGAGACTGGGTGAAGAACCAGGTAGGAATACTGTCTGCACCAAGGAAATAAGGTGAGGAGCTCTGTGATGGCATCTGGGAGAAAGCTGAGAGAACAGAGAAACTGAAGAATAAGAAAAGATGGGAGCAGTGTGGAAGCAGGCTGGACTGACTTTGGAATGGGGGCAGAACAGAAGAGAAATCTTTGCCTGTGCAGTGCCTGTCTTGCCAGAGTCTGGTGCAGATGAGTCTGCTGTGGGTGTGTTTTCTGCAGTCAGATATCTTTAGAATCCCACTGGGAAAATTTTCTTGGATGCCTGGAGTGCCTGGGTTGTTTTCACGCTGAATGTTTGTTCTAGTTTGTCCTGATTTGCCTTCTTTCTAATTACAAGGCTACTAACTCTAATGAAGATCATTTCTTGCCTTGGCAGTACACAGAATTAGAATTAGTCCGTTGCATCAAGTCTATGCTTTTTTGGACTGGAGGCAAATTGTAGCTGACAGAATGTTTTGTAAGCTATTCTGCTTTAGCAGCTCTGAGCCCAAAGCTCATCTGTATGCATGTCCTCTGCCTTTGTTCACTCATTTTGGCTCTGGAGGAGTGTGAGCCTCTGCCTTTGTGGCAGGAAGGTGGGGAGCTCAGCAGGTAGGTAGGTGCTGATCTACCTGCCGAAACCAGCCCTCCATGGGAGCATGGCAGCTGGGATCAGAGCTGTGTGGTTCTCCTTCACCCCTCTGCTGCTGGGGAAGCCTTGGCTTTGGTTGGGAAAGACGTTCACTGCAGATGTCTGTCACGTCCATAGTGTAAGTGAGGTAGATGGAGGAATTAGACAGTTCTTACGTTGCTCTGGGGAGCCAGTTCTGCCTTAAGTAGCTGGAGATATTGAAACCAAGTGAGAGACATGACACATAACCCAACAATAAAGAATTGGAGTTAGGATGTATGTTTCTATATACATAAGAATTAAAGTGGCAAGATGAATAGAGTAAAATGAAGGGCAGGAGAAGGTTTGATTCCTCCCACTGCTGATAATGGGTGTGAACCAATTGATTTGAGATTTTATTTTTCGAAATGTATTTTACATGCGTATGCAGCCTTGGGAATAAGAATTGTTGTTGTTGCAGGGTGATGCTGGCTTAATACCTCGGATTTGTGAAGGGTTGTTCAGCAAAATAAGTGAAAAAACAAAACGGAATGAGGCATCCTTTCGAACAGAAGTCAGGTAGGTCTTGGCATGCTACTAGTTTGCTATTTTATCATACTTGTTTCAGTTCCTCTAACCGTGTTTCACTTATCTCTGAGAAAGGCCAGTTTTTAAGATAACTTTTCATGCTTGGCCTCAGTCCTATAATTGATTTTTGTTGGCAGTCGCAGTCAAAAGGTGCAATACTTCTAAATCTGATCCAACAACTCTGTATTTTGTTTTATTTAGCTGATGATCCTTTACTATTGGAAGGCATCTTTCTTATTTTACTATTTATTTAAGGCTGACATTAGGTGCTTTTGATCTTGCTAATGTCTGCTCCCTTTAGATTTCTTGTTTTTTTTCCTCAAGGCTGCAGCAGTCATTACTACCTTAAGCCAACTTTGGTTTTGCTTCCCCAGGCATTTCATCTTTCAAACTATCTGAATATGCCTTTCATTTTCTTACTGAATCTTCATTCAGCCAGTGGTTTTTCTGGCCTTTATTTTCAGCTATTTGGAAATTTATAATGAACGTGTGAGAGATCTTCTCAGGAGGAAGTCATCAAAAACGAATAATTTACGAATCCGAGAGCATCCAAAAGAGGGACCGTATGTTGAAGGTAGAAAGACTTTAAACATTTTGCATTGGATATTTTATTACCTTTGTATATTTTAAAGTGTTAGATCTAATTGCTTGGGGTTTTTTTTTTTTTTTTTCCTTTGAAATAAAGATGGTGGTGGATATAGAACTCTCATTTGCTATAAAAGCACTAAATGTGAATAGCCTCATTTTCTAGTTCTACTTGCTTTCTCAGTTCTAAGATTACTATACTTAAATACAGTTTATCTGTTAAGTGAAACAAATTTCAATATTAAGAAATGCAATTTTAAGAATTCATTGAATATGATTTATAAATCCATAATGTTTCAGATGGAATGAAGTAATCTAGTTGGCTTAATCCATCTTCTGCCACTGGAAGTTCCTGTCTCTTGAGAGATTATACTTATGCACCAAACACTTCAATAAGAATGCGTATTTTCTCTTAATTTACTGTAAACATGTAAGTTTGCAGTTATTCACAGGAAATCTCATTCTTTTCCTTAAGAGTAATAAAAAAAGCACAGCAATAAACACTGCAATTGAAGCATCACTTTGAAGTGATGGTAATTTGAGTCCTTTTGTTGGGGAAAAAAAATAAATCAAGTGCATGTATGGGCATACTGAAACACTGTACCTTTCTTTAGATTTGTCTAAACATTTAGTGCAAAATTATGGTGATGTAGAAGAACTTATGGATGCGGGAAATATAAACAGAACTACGGCTGCAACTGGAATGAATGATGTCAGCAGCAGGTCTCATGCCATTTTCACAATCAATTTCACTCAGGTAAAAACAGCCCTATATTAATGTGTCTACATTCAATAATTCTTATGATAATTAAAAAATACACTTTTCAAATCAGCAAATATGGGTAAATAGTGACTGTATGTTGTCTTCTGGTAGGGAAAGATAGAAGTATGAAAGTGGCATTTTGGCAATTGGAAATACCTTTATCAGTAATTGCCTTCCTTAAAATTAACAATATAATATTATTTAGAATGGCAGTAGATTTTGAGGAAATTCAGGTTGGAAATTTGGGCTAAATCAGTTTAAAAACAAAACAGCAAAATGTCTCTGTGGCTCAAATTATGGGGTAGAAATGTTGTCTGAGTGTTTTGTTACTGACTTTTCCTTTCTTACTCTAAGAAACCTATTTATATTTCTTCATTTACTGGTGGAAGGATTGAACTTGTTTTTTCAGAGCGTAGTAATCTTTTAATTTATTATTATTTTTTTTAATATATGCAGTAAACTCCTAATTGCTACTTTCATAAGGTTTGGAGGTGGGAGGAGAATGTGAGTGTAGGTGTCTGTGTGTGGAAGCTGTAACTTTAAAAGTTAGTTGAAAGGTTAATAATATGAATGAAGCACATACAGTACATCAGGTAAATGCCCACTGACTCAGTTGTTGGGACATGTGCATAAATGGCTTAGAATTGCAAATCTACGATTTCAAAAAGTAACTACTTCTGTGGGAGTTAGAAAAAAAGTCACAATAAATGCTTTTCTTTGACACCCCTAATATGCCTGTCTTCTGATGCCCTGTTATTGTGAGTAAAATTCAATGACATGAATGAGGCAATTCAGTTGGATTCAGTAAGATTTCTGAATTTTGTAGCTTAATACTTCTTTTTTTTTTAATTATTTTTAGGCTAAATTTGATTCTGAAATGCCTTGTGAGACTGTTAGCAAGATTCACTTGGTAGATCTTGCTGGAAGTGAGAGAGCAGATGCCACCGGTGCCACAGGGGTTAGATTAAAGGAAGGTGGGAATATTAACAAATCTCTCGTTACTCTGGGAAATGTCATTTCTGCCTTAGGTAAGTTACTAGATCTTGTGCTTTATGCTGTTGTAGATTTGTTAATTGTTAAATTAGCAAAAGCTAATTTAGAGTTTTTATTTACACAAGTACTGGAGTTAGGAACTAGATGATCTTTAAGGTCTCTTCCAACCAAAGCCACACTATGATTCTATGAAATGGTGACCTAGAATATATTCTGTGTTTGAAAATGAATGAAAATGTATAACTGCTATTTTTTTTTTTGTCCTCACATCACAGCTGATTTATCTCAGGATGCAACAAATCCTCTTTCAAAGAAGAAACAAGTATTTGTGCCTTACAGAGACTCTGTGTTGACTTGGCTGTTAAAAGATAGCCTAGGAGGAAACTCTAAAACTATAATGATTGCCAGTAAGTGTTTTTAAATGACTTTTTTTGCATCCTGAACTATTCATGCTTAATAGGATTAGCTGTAAATATTTAGGTTCCAGATGCTTCATTCAGGCATAGCATTATTTACACATTTTAATTTTTTTCTTTCTTTGTGACTTTTCTAGAAACACTCTATACCTGCACTCTTACAGAGCATCTCTTGCAGCAGTACAACTGTATGTGGTCTCATTATGTACATGGGAACTGTCTAATTTGTTCAGTAATGTCGTGAGCAATGGCAGTTGTGTCTCCAGAATCTGAGAATTTCATTTTTATGTTCAGATCTTTAAGGATTTTAGGATTCTGTGATCTCTTTCTGAATGGATTATGTTTGGTCACAAACATAACAAGGCTTTCAGATTGTATATGTACAGTTATTAGGCATACCTAAGGGTCATCCAAATGTATGTGCCTAATTGTCTGCATTTGCTCTGACAGTGAGCTCACTGCTATGTTAGTCTATAATACACACACAATGTAATGACAAACTAATCTGACCAGTTAATCTTCAAATAATATCTCCTGTTTGTTCTTGTGATTCATTTACATTCAAGACAGCTCTGATATTCGTGATGAATGCACAAGACTGGATCTAGATGAAGTCTTGTAATTCTCTCTATTTACACCTTTCCTCCACAGGTTGCAGACTTACGTCCTCAGTTTTGTTTTGTTTTCAAAGAAGGGTTTTGTGCATCTAGTCAGTATTAATGTGTGAATCAGTTTACTTTTCCAAAATGTTGTTAGAGTTAGTGGCAGAAACAGCCTGGTCTCTTGACATTCAGTGGGTAAGAATGTCATTTTTTGTTAACTTACTTTTTGAGTACAGCATTTTAACTTTGTATAGATTTAATTATTCATGATCAGTCAACCTACAAACTTCTCTTACAGCTTTCTTTTTACCTATAGGAAGCTCTGTAAGGATCACTTGATTTAAAAACCACGTATGGCACGTATTGCAGGTTTTTCAACAAATTGGGATGGGAATCTCATTAAAAAACAACTATTTAAACTACTAAAAAATAGTAATGGAGAGGAGGGAAGAATTCAGGATGTCAGAGGTGTAAGTGTGAAGAAATTTCTCCCCTTTTGAACTGTGATGCAGTTTAATTGAAGGACTCCTTTTTTTTGAGAAATGGCTGGGCAGGGAAGTCGAGACTGTAAAATGCATTGAACCAAATTCTGGTTCTTCAGTTGCTTTGCTATGGTTGGATTTTCTGAGTTCTTACACTGCAAGATTTTGGGGATATTTCTGGAATTGGTGCCATTTCCTTTGCTGAGACTGCTCACGGTATCAAAAGACGATCATGGGCCAGATGCTGCTTTGTTCTTCTGGCTGTTCTAGCTAACGTTGTGCTAACATCTTCCTTGATGCTTCCTTACAGTTACATGGTTGAGTAACTCGATGTATTCTGTGGTGGGGTGGGTGAAAAGGCTTTAAAAACCCAGTGAGCTTTCAGTGCCTTTACTAATGATTATAGTGCACAGCTGCTTTTTCAGCTACTTTTCCATCTATTAACGATGCATCTGCCAAGCACAGTCCTGATGGTTGATCTCTTCTCCAGCAGTAACTCTACTGATAATGTGGCTGAATTGCCTAACAGAGCCTGACAGGCTGTCCAGATGCGTTTGGCATGCCTTTTCTATAACTAAACACTCACGTAAAAAAGCAGGAAGATCATCTCAGGCTCTAGGAAAGGCTCTTATAAAAATATGTCTGATTCTGATATGTCATGTTTCTATAAAATATTGTAGCATCTGTCCAGAAAGAGAATAATTGAGTAGTGGGAGGGAGGCAGTAAATAAAGTAGGAAAGTGAGTAGTGTGAGCTAGAGGAAGTAAAGACTGGTGCCTACAGCATCTCCCCTAATTCAGACAATCTCTACCATTAAAGGAATATTTAGCATTGTTGGGAGAATGTGGAAGGCCAGAAAATAATGGTTGCTTAATTATTTTTTTCAGGAGTTTTCATCGTCTGGTTCTTTGGGTTTCTTGTTCATTTGCATCATTAGGAAGACTTCTGGTCCCTCGTTTCCAAATGATGGTCTCTTTTTAATTTAGACATCTTACAAATTGTTGAGAAAATTAGCTGAAATATAGCATCAGTACTTTCATTAAAAATCCATTGTGTCTCCTGGTTGAATTGCTTGTAAAAACAGTACTTATTTGTCTTGCTGCCTGAGATAAGGAATATTCTGCTTGCTGCCAGACACCTGCAGCTCAGCAGAACAGATAGTTTTGTAAATGGGTGATAGAAGCTCTTCTTTCGGTTTGTTTTTCATATCTATCTTTTACTTTAATGGTATTTAAGTTACTTTCAAAACTTGGAGCAAAAAGTACTGTGTTTCTACCTGAAATGACTTTTCCACTGGATTATTACATTGATCCTCTATAAAATAGTTGGTGATTTTTTTCCCACTGTTCATGTGCAAATTCACAGGAGCCTGTGAAGTGTTTATGCAGGATATTTATGCTTACCAGTGAGTTGTAAATGTTACATATGTTGACTGAAAGATCGCTTTACAACTCTTGATTGCTGGACTTAATTATTTAAATTACTTAAACACAATTACAGTGTCATGAAGGCAGTAGAACAGAGAATGAAGAACTCAACAAATTGTTGTTGTAGTGGTTATGTATTTCTGTTTCTTCATCCATGTTAACTTTATCAGACTTAAAATATAAACTAGCTTTACTAAATAAAACACATGGTACTGGATAAACTGTTTCTGATTTCATCTCCTCAGCTATTTCACCTGCTGATGTCAATTATGGAGAAACTTTAAGTACACTTCGCTATGCAAATAGAGCCAAAAACATCATCAACAAGCCTACTATTAATGAAGATCCTAACGTCAAACTGATCCGTGAGCTGAGAGCTGAAATAGCCCGATTAAAAGCCCTGCTTGCTCAAGGGAATCAGGTTAGCTGTACTTGAAATTTATGTGTAATTTTCCTTGAGTTATAACATCTATTTCTAGAATGTAATGAGATAATTATCTTTCATTATATTGATTTGAGTAAACAAGCTCTATGAGGCTATGAATGAATATTATTTTACTGATTGAATCAGTTTCCATATGGCCAGTAGATTACCTCTTTTAACATGAGGGGGAAAAATTATCAATCTCAAGCTTTTAGCTTTCTCTTAATGTAATCAGGCCTTGATTGCAGTTTGCTGGGGGGCAGGTACTCAACTCAGCACAAGGAGACTGAACAGAACATATTTGCTGTGTCTAGCCTGATGGACTGCAGAAGTACTTTAGCTGGTCTCTCAGAAGTAGCAGAAGGCATAAAGTACTTAAGATGACCACGTTCCTGCATTTTTATATTGATGTAGGTTTGGGTAACATGGGGTTTTTTTTGTGTTGATCTACACAGTATGTTAGAGAGCATGTTGTGTGCTGAACATGCAAAAGTACTTTCAGTTGTGATGGAAGAAAAGGTTTATATTTTTTACTGGCACAGACTGAAAACTCTCTTAGTAAGATTTATGTTTCAGACAGGGGAACTGCTGAGAGGCCCTGCCTCTTTGAGTTGGTAATTCTGTTCTTCCAGAAAATATCAGCTTCTGCCAATGTGTAAATATAATAGAGAGCAAAGAAAATGGGAATGATTGTCAATAATCCAAAAGTAATAAAAGCACAATTCTTAGATTTTTCTGAGTTTTCTGATTTGGATTGCAAGTAGAACTTGCAAAATTTGATACTGATTGCTTGCTTAACTTTACTGTTTCTATGGCAACGGATGATGGTTATGGTGGTGGTGATTGTGAACACACATGCCATAATTACACCTGTTAGACACAGGAGGTTAAAATGGCCAAGTTAGGCCAGTGGTTAAAAACTGTATGGCTTTTGGGTATCTTTTACTATGAGAAGGGTTTCTCAACTAGATTGTCTGAACAACTGTTGTTTCACTCTAAAGTATGCTAGTTAGGCTTGCACTTCTGGTGTTGGGTCACCAAACTACTTGATTTGAAATGTCAGAAAACTAGGGAACTGGGACTGATCAGAGTGGAAGACTTTATAACAGTAGGAGTGATTGCCAGCACCACCCTGCCCAGTGCAAAGCTTCTGCATACTGGAGAGAATAATCCAGTGTATTTGATTTACTTATGGGGCTGGACAGAACGAAGCATAGTTTCTTTGGAAGTGTTTTATTTTAATTATACAGAATGCTTTAAAAAAAACACCTTCTGTTGTGTCCTCTTCCTGTATTGACCTGCAGAATTTCTCTTTTGCTCAGTGCTATTTCTCTGTCTTTCTCAGTATTGGCTACCCTAAACATTTGCTGCACAGACTTGGTTAAGCTTAATTTCTCCTCTGTTTCCAGGATAATGAAACTGAGCTAACAATAAGGAATGTACAATTGCTCAAGCCATACATCTCTTCTAAATAATGCCACTCGGGGCTGCTAGATTTAATGCCTGACCAAATATGATTTGGGGAGACAACTGAAAGGATACTCTATGATTCTGTGATTTATCTCTAGAACTACCTAAGTTTATTTTAGATAGACTGTGCAGTATGAAATGTCAGTGCAGCACAGACCTTTTATTTATGTAAGTTTAGTACTTCAGCTAGATTTCATGCTATAAAACATTTGCTGAAAAAGGGGAATGGAACCCTAATATGAAGCAGTAATAGGTATTGTGGATGGTTGAAGCTGAGCTCTGCTCTGCTATGAACAATTAGAAAACTCCTCTTGGGGCTGAGTTATTGTTGTATTTTTATACTTCTTTTGTATTCTTAGGCAGAGAAAAATGAATGTTTCTTCCCTAGCTTGTCTGATCACTTTTAGTTTTTAAATATGTTAGCAAGGTAGATATAGCACAGACCCCTTTGAAGGTGTAATGCTTTGTCCTAATTCCAATTTGTAAAACAGTGGATATCACAAAATAAATCTGGTTTGGCTGTAGGATGTGATAGATGACTGTATGGCAGACAATAGACAATTTGCTTAAGTTAATTGAATTTGTGGTGGTTGGTAAAACAGCAAGTGGTGTTATGTATGCACAATAGAATATAAATCCCTTCATATTTTCTTCTGTGATCTTCCTTTATATTCTGAGAATACTGTATTGCAAATGCTTCTGTAGATCACTGAAGATACTGGTTACTGAAATGCAGTGCTGGATTCAGTGTGGGAGGTCATATAACAATGAGTACTGCTTTTGTGTCTATAGTTTCCTTTTCTAATGCCTATTATCTTATATTCAGTTTGTAATTACAGATAGGCAACACAGATATGCCATACAGCAAAGTTGTTAAGTATTGATGCATAATAGCTTTTCATGTTTAACAGGAATATAGAGTTAAATTTGAGGAATTGTGTGTTATAACCTTGTCTGGTTTCTGTGTGGGCATGTTTGTGACAACATGTATTCAGAAGAAATGAAATAATGCTCCCAAACTGATGATTTGATTGAGAATATCTGCTTTGACAACACTTTGATTAATTGGAGAGTTTACAGTATTTTAAGGTCAAATGACATATGTTGGAGTGTGAAATATTTCATGCAAAATATTAAAGAAGGTGATTTTGCCAGAATTGTATTTTTTTCATCTTTTATTAACTTGATACTACTTATTTTTTTACAATTATAGATTGCTCTCCTGGATTCTCCAACAGCTTTAAGTATGGAAGAAAAGCTTCAGCAGAATGAAGCAAGGGTGAGTTATTTCATAAATCAATTCAAAAACAAAGAAATGAAGTAAAGGGGCCTTGGTGCAACTGATAGCCATTTATTTTTATAAACACGACCATTAAACCATTAAAAAACAAGGTATGTTAGTATGAGCCATATCTATAAGGTACACTTTGGATTTATCCATAAGCCACATTTCTGCTAGGAATGCATTTTACAGCTCTGTGGTATACACAGGGATCCCTGTTGTGTTGTGCTGTATACTTTAAGTGGAACCTGCAAAGCGGTGATATGAGCTTTCAGTTGTAAATGCATTTCTCATATTCACACAAGGCTTTTAAAACATTTGAAATGTAATTTTATTTTAGTGTATAAACAGAGCTTTTATCTAGGTGTAGTGAGCAATAAGAGCTGCTGTATACACACTAATTAAAGTACGTTGTTCGTATTCTGGCAGTAATAGCTGCTTGTCCTGCTCAGGAGTGTTGCCCTCTGCATGGAAAGCATACTGAGCATGTTTTATCTTTTCTCAACCTCATTAGAAGGTCACTTGATTACTATTTAACCTAATTCCTGCAGACATGATTACTGTAAAATCTAAGTAGGTATTGCAGTGGTTGTAGCTTTTTTTAATACTTGAATGGATGCAATAATAATGCTTATACAGATATAAGCATAAAGACTTTATTGCCGTATTTAAATTGTGTGATACATACATGGTAGCTTTAATGAGTTGACTTGTCTTTATGTAAGAACAGTTTTTGAAAAGTGATGTGGTGAATAGACTTATGGGCATTCTTAATAGTTCTCTTCAGTCTTTTCAGGTTTTTTCCCTGCTTTAACATTCTGACCACCAACACTGATGGTGCACTGAAAAATGTATTTACTTTTCTCTGGATTCTTGAGATAGAGGTAGAAATGAGATAAATATATTTATTTCCTCTTGATTCATTTGCATTTCAACTGCAAAGACAGTGAGGGTGTAGGCTGCTGGTTGTAAATGGGGAGATCTTTGTGGCAACTATGAAGACCTTTTTTTTCTTGCAGCAAATTTTTATAGGGACGTGGCCATAATGATTTTCATCATTCTGCACTGTGAAGTGGCTTTAAATAAGAAATGATTGTGTATGTTTTTAAGTCACTGTATTTAATTCCTGTGCAGAAATCTGCTGATATGAAAAACTGAAGTGTGTGTATGCATGTGTGTGTACATACATATGTGCATGTGTGCACTTATATGTAATATGATAATGATTCCAAGTCAGCCCGAGCTTTTAGGTCAGTCTGCCCGAATTGCTTTCTATACAGTGCTTTCTAAAAAGCCAGAAGGGATTTGAAATGAAAAGAGTCTTTTCTGGTGCATAGAAGTTGCCCTTTGAGATGTCCTGCTTTTTCTAGTCACTAACTTGCCCAACACTTCTGTGTTGATATGCAGTGCTCTGTCCCTGTTAGTAACGCATTTGCAAGCAGACCCTGACTTCAGTGCTGATTTCAGCCAAGTGATTTCTGTGTTGCAGCAAACTTAGCTCTGGTTCTTCCACGATGGCTGCCTGCTGCTGCTGCTTCTGCATGCCCTACCCTGTGATTTCTGGAGTTTGTTTTGACCAGAATATGTCTAGCTCAGATTAAGTGTTCTGTCATGGTTTAGTCTCTTAGTGAAGGAGCAGTAGCTCTCTTTTAAATATTTAGGTCCTAAACTTTACATAAAGAGTTGCACAAGTATTTCATACTTGCCTAAGAATTAATTATGGACTTTGGAAGAGATGTGATTATTCAGATGTTTGTTCTCTTTTACAGGTACAAGAACTGACCAAAGAATGGACAAACAAGTGGAATGAAACCCAAAATATTCTGAAAGTAAGACAAATACGTTCTTTTTCAATGTGGCCTTTGAACTAATCTCAGAGTTTTTCCTTCTTACAAATCTTTACCCTACTGAATGTTTCCATTTTACTGCAAAGAAAGACAGCACGGGGCAAGGGCAAGTTGCTCTCTCATCCCCTTGGTGTTTGTATTGCATCCATAACTGCAAATAACCACCTTTTCTGCTGTATTGGATATCTCTGTGAATGCGTTGCATAGAGGATATGGGTTTTTGCATTGGCCTTCAGATTTGTTACGGTCAGAAGTAGTTCTTTAAAGTTGGAATAACAGCTTTCAGTTGAATATCCTCCAGTAGGTCTCCATCAAACAGAACAGATGGATCTAAGCTGAGTCCCTGAGCACTGGGATTTTTGCAGCTCATTCATGTAAGCTGGCTTGAGTGCAGTTGTTATATGACTCCAGAATACTTCTGAAGCAGTTAAATCCACACAGTACTCTCTTGCATTTAGCAGTTTTAGTACAGATCCCAGAGGGCAACTTGGTGATTTCCATGCTGTGTTTTTTGAATGATGTTGACTGATATACTTGTCTTATCTGCATATAACCTTGCCTTTCTACTGTCCAGTTGTCCTGGTAAGGATTTTATGTTGGCATGTGGCTCTTGAAAATGGTATTTTTAGGTGATGTTCTAATGGGCTACTTCATGATTCCATATGAGTGCACCCAGAAGAACAATTCCCACAGTTTGTTTTCCACGGAATGCACTGATGTTTTTGCCAAATGTTTTAACTATTCTGTTAAATAAAAATTTGGAAAACAAACTGGAAGCTTTCATGACTTGCAGGATATGCTGAGAAGACATTTATTCAAAGTGTGATTCAAGCAAGCATGTAGTATTTTAAAAAATTCTCCTCGGCACTGACCTGAGACTTGTTTTTGTAGTTGATTTTTGCTGTGTATCACTTCTTAATTGTGCTAATTTTTATTTTAAGTTCACCTCTGTGTCTTTTATCTGACTTGCAAGTAAGTCAAATGATTCTGTGCTTAAAAATAAAGCACAAAGAGCTTAGAGAACAGAGCAGGACTGGAAACTGCCTAGCAGATGGCATGACAGAATGGGCTGTTTAATGTCTGTCCAGACACTGAACTGGGAATTACTGTTTGCATATTCCTCAGATATTTTAGGTCCAGTTTTACATTATTCCTCTGTTTTGTTATTCTGAAGCATCTATACAGATATAATTCTATATAGAGCTATTGTCTTCTTACTATTCAGGTGTGGATTGGGGAGTTACATTGTTGAGTTCTACGTAGAGAATTGTTAAATTCTAGTCTGCAAAGTGAACATGATGTAGCTAGTCTGTGGAAAGTCTCCTTAGCTATGTTGGAAATAAACTGATTCTTCCATAGATAATGCAGGGCTGTACGAAGTGTTGATCTATTGACTGAACAACTCAAAGAAACAAGGGAGAGCCCTATTTGTTAAATAGCCAAACATAAAAGCTTTCAAAACAGAGAAGCTGTAATTCTGCTCTTCTGGTACAAAGCTTTTGTTAGTTTAATTCATCCAGCTTCTGTATTTTGCACTTCTGCATGCTGCCATTTGAGCATATTATTTCAGCATACTTCACTTCTGGATTAAAAGCAATGGAAATTTTCTCGGCCCTGAAAAAAACTGAAAATCTGCAAAAGAATTCCTGATTTTACTGCTTTATTTTACAGCATTTTACTGAGGCTATCTGTATTTTTATTCCACTTCTTGTTTAACAAATCTGGAGATCACTGCCAGCATATGAATGGGAAAGGGCTATATGGAGGCTTGCCAGGCTGCATAGGGAGAGCAGGTTTTAAACCAGAGAAAGCGATATTTCTTGTAACAGACTCCTTCCCTGCCTTTATTTCGTTATATATATATATATAGATACCACTTCTTGCATGCACAGGTCATACAGATTGCTTCTGAAACTTGAAGGTCTTGGTGCCCTTGTAGAAAAAATACTGTGCTCACATCGCTGCAGTCACAGCTGCAACTTTTCCATGCCGTTCACCAGTAGCTTTCAGAACATTCTTCATTAAGGACCTTAGACCGTCATGTTTGTCTTTAAAAGCTGCTTCTCTTTACCTTCTTCCCCCTAAATAAATAAGTGTGGTTTGCAGGAGATTGATGCTGGCTGTGTGGAGGAGTTTGGTAATTTCTTGACTGTGCATTGTTCCTTGGCTGTGTGATTTGAGCTTGGTTAAATGGTAATTCTATCTGGGATACGTTTATTGAAAGATTGTTTGAACTAAGCTTGAGCAGGTGAGTCTTGTTTGTGGTCATTCAGTATAAGCATTTAACTTTTTTTTCCCCCCAGAACTAGACTAGGACAGACTAATGCTGAATTCATTCTTTTCTAATCTCTCTTTGTGATCGTTCAGAAGTTGAAAAAATTGTTGAAATTCTTCCAACTTGTTCACACTTCAGAGTTACTTTGAACTTTGCTTTATGTGTTACCAGCAACAACTAAATGCTACCTTGTAAATAATAAAGCAGAATGGAAAATTCTGCCAGATAGGAAGAAAAAATATTGTGTGAAGGTAAGTTTTTTATTTAAAAAATATTTGGCAGCTTAAATGATTTCAGTCAGTACTGTGCAGGTACAGCTAGCATGCACATCCCAGCATTCTTCCTTATTTCTGCTTGTAGCTTTTAACATGCTTATTCCCCTTTGCTATTTTTTCTCCATGACCCCTTGCCATCATAGGGTGCATTATCAGTTTGAGGATGTTTAACTGTTCTTCTGTAAATGTTGTCAATTCTGAGTACAGTGATGGATCTGTATGGCTGAATGCTTGTATTGGCTGTGAACATTGTTTATGAACCATATGTCCTGCTGCCTGACTGGACACATCCTGGAGCAGTGGTGGTAGTGGTGATAGTGTACTCTTTCTTCCATGCATTTAGAAGGATCTCTTTTGTAGGGAGATCGTTTGGGTTCGTATGGAGTCTGAACTACTGCCAAATCACATCTAAAGCCAAAATCTTCCCACTATCATAAAGCAAAGATTAAGATACTGCATACGTTTTTAAAATGGGTTTTAAAAGGGGTTTTAAACTTATGCTCTCATGAAGTGTCTCTTACTGTAACATGGCAGCTGCTCAGAGTTGTTATGTGTCTGAAGGGACAAGCATTGTTTTTGACAGTGATGTTTATCTTCATCCTTGACCTCCTCACTGTAATACAGTATGGCACTCTAACCTTACTAGCCTAGTAGTAGATTCTGTTCTCTATCCCTCTTTTTAATTGAATGGAGGATATTGTTGTGAGTAGTAAGTAGGGAGAATGATGCTTAGCATTAATTAAAATACTGCATTGAAAAGCTAAGTGATGGTGTTAATTTAAAGCCCGTAGGCTTTGGGCTGTTTCCTAAACGTCATCTGCTCTCACAAGAATTGCACTGTACAAAACAACACTGCTGTACATCACTTCTCTGCCTTGCAGCCTCAGCACTTACTTAACTCCACAATTTTGATTCTTATCTTGCCCTCATTGAATCTCTTTGCTCTCTGTTTTTCTTTGTCCCTTCTGTTAATGTTTTTCTTTATATAAATCCCTGAAAAAGAGGAGTAGGGAAGAAAACCTACTTGCTCTTTAGAGCAGACCTTTTTGTATTCTGTGAAGTATCAGTCCTTGGGTCTTTAATCCCGTTGGAAGGTTTCTAAAATGTTGAAGTAGTCTATCTGACTTTCAATTTTTCTTTCTTTAAGGTTTTAATTGGTGCAAAACTTCTTTAGATGTGGCTGTTCTGACTACATGTGTTATCATAGAATCATAGAATTGCTCAGGTTGGAAAAGACGTTAAAGATCATCAAGTCCAACCACAACCCAACCATCCTACCCTAACTCTAACAGCCCTCTGCTAAATCATGTCCCTGAGCACCACATCCAAACGGATTTTAAACACATCCAGGGATGGTGACTCAACCACCTCCCTGGAGAGTGAATTCCAGTGCTTAACAACCCTTTCTGTAAAGAAGTTTTTCCTGATAACCAACCTAAACATACCCTGGCACAACTTGAAGCCATTTCCCCTCATCCCATCACCTGTCACCACTGGGAAGAGACCAGCCCCATCATTTATTGGCATTGTTTTGCCAGTATTCCATTTTGTGCATATTCCAATTGCTTTCTGTAACCTTCAGCAGCTTTTGTATTAATTTTTAAATGTACACTCCTTTATATAAATCTCTTCTGCTCTTTCTCCTCTGTCTTTTAAATTTCTTCTCCCTGTTACTGTTCGTGGAGAGATTGCTATAGTACATTAGTAGTGATGCAGTAGAGATTATGCAGTATTGTTAGCTTTTTCCTTTTTGGTGCATGTTATTCTTACCTAGTGTTGTTTAGATGCTCTTCTGCATGTTTGTGTGTATGTGTCACAGTGGATTCAGAGTTGTATTTTATTTCATTATACTGTTGTTTGATTCTGCTTGTGTCCTTAGTGCTGTATAGGAGAGCTCAACTGATGTCAGAGAATGCAGAGATTGGTCTTCCCAGAGTCTGAAAGGACAGAGGTCTTTCGTGTGTGTGTGTGTGTGTAATTCTCATGATCAATATTTTAAGTAGTAGCTGCTGCCTCTGGCTTTGTCCATTTGGACTGAGTGGCATGGCCTCACTTCTATCAGTGCCACTAATTCTGCTGCAGTACTTGACTGCATTGTGTAAGTACGTTATTGATTGCTGCTTATTTGACCTTTTTCTTTTTCACGCCTTTGGTTGAATATTAGTTAATAGTACATTTTCATGGCTTTAGCAATTGGTTTTCCTATTTAAGTAAGGAAACTGTTGCTAATAGTGTCCATTTCCAAGCATTAACATCTACTGTTGTTTGTGGGTTTTTACTTGGTTAAAATATAGATTTTATATATATATATATATATATATATGCATACCTCTTTCTGAAGGAGGTAAAGAACTGTTACATTGCCATGATGAGAGAGTACAGACTAACATTAAGCATTACTGTGGTAGACGTGTTCATCTAAACAGGGGCTC